AATTTTGATAGAACATTGAGAACGGTTTTCTAGTTAAATATCACTTCAAGCGAAACAGATGACGTATTACATATCATCGGATAGAATAATCATTTATTGAAAACTTGTATTTACTTTCACAAAAAGATCAACATAGTCTATATATTATATGGCCGTGGATTAAAAGGAAAAAAAAAATCATACAAAACTGTAGATCGATAACAACCTAGAAGGTGTGTACGTCCTTCTGCCAGTCACCACCTTAATGTCTCTTGTCTTGTTAACCTTCTCCTCCGCTATATATAATATAATAGGGATGTCTATATAATATTTCAGTTTCAAGAACATATGATATTCTTCATATATAATCTAAGCTTGAATCTTATAAGTTTTTAACTGAGGATGTCAAACTTCTTAACCATATTTTTTTTCAATCAAAGTAAATAAAGTTGAAATATAAAATATAGTTCTTCTATTTTTGTTTTTTTCAATTTGTCCCCTATATATATAGTATAGGAAGAACTCAACTTTAAATTTGGAGTGGTGTTGTAACAATACTAAACTTTATGATGTTACTGGTATTTGGTAGAACTTTTCTATTGCCTTATCCAGCCAGTCGAATCTCAAGAGATGGATCCCACCATAAAATTCATAATTCACATGTAATTTTTTTGTAAGGTTATTCATGATTTAATTAATCCAATTATTATTTTAAATTTTTTATATTTAAATAAGCTTTGATTGTTTTCGACAGAAAAAAATAGACAACCCTATTTTTGTTAATTGCTTACAAACTAAATTTTACCGGCATTTAGTCATAGAAATCTCACCAACCATTTTCTAAACATTTTTGAGGAGCTTCTCTAACATTTCTTGTTATCCCAACGAGTCTGTTTATTTTCCCTGGTCGAGTGCTATATCATTAAGATTAATTTGATTTTATCTTAGAAATTACAAAATGATTTTTTACCGTCTACAATAAATGTCTATACGATAGATATTCTATCCGCAGCATACAAATTCACAGTACCCAATTTCATATATAACACACTACTGTGTTGTACAACTCTTACTGTATCATACTGGATTTGCCTTTAAGTTTTCATTTACATTCTAAAAAAATATACTTTTGGGAATCAAAATTCAAAACGTCTTATGAAAAGATTAGATAATTTGATCAACCGTTTGACCAAGAAATGTTTTACCGAAAAACTTCTTTAATTAGAAATTTAGAATCCAATAAATATGTAAGACAAAATGTTTCTTTAGAGAATATCGTAAGACATAAATGTTGAAGAGAGGCATGTGTGTAGATGCATCCAGATGCAAAAACTTACGTCGCACTATGCCAGTGATTTGTTACGTAATCAACATTTTAGCTTCATGAAAGGTGCACAGTTGGGTATATGGATATTGATTAGGAAACAAAGCCAGCCAAGCTTTGCTCCATATGTCTACACGCAATCATTTATAAAGATTCTATCTCCCAAGTCATATGAGATATAAATATTTAAGTCGGAACTAAAAAGAACCAATAATGAGGACTTAAATTGTCATAGTTTTGTTAGAACTTAAAAAAAAAACCACTAAATTGAATACGAAAAATTATAAAGAAAAGAAAAGGGAAAAATAGTAGTTGAGACACCGAAAGAAGAATGCATAACCTAAACGGAACGAAGAGAAACTCTCAACAAAGGTAGTTAGGGTTTTGCACGTTATCTTAGGTCATGCAATCTGCCCCATTTCATCATTTACAATTTAATTCTTTTCATGATATTTATTTATGTACATCCCACATCCCATATTATATATATATATATGATCTTTATATATATATATATATGATCTTCATGCATGTATTGCACTTTACCTACCAAAGCACCATCAATCTCTCTTAAAGAGATTAAAAAATAAGACATTAACAGATATTTTCATACACTAGCACACATATATAAATAAAGTTTTTGGTGACGTTATTTTACACGAAAAGCACATCCTTGTATGGATGTAATTAGCTTCTATTGTTTCTTCTTCGCCTTCTTCTTATTCTTTCTTGCAATCTCTTGTCTTCTTTTTCTAGCTGTTCTTGCTTTATCTTGTCAAGTTTCAACAGTCACAAGATTTTTGAGGAACCTTCTTTCTTCCGAGAATCTTGTGTAAGTTTCTTGTTGGGTTATTTTTTCATGACATTTTAGTTTCCATCTTTAGTTTGAATTCATGTGAAAAGTACATTTTGCCTATCTAATTCTTTATGCCGTCTCAAAAACTCTCCTTTGTTACTAACAGAACCATATTTTAAAAAAAAATATTGACACAATATTGGTTAGAGTTTTAAGAGGACTTTACCATTTTGGTGTCTTTGTCCCGACTAATCCTACTCCTTAGGTCTATGATGATTGGTGATATGACAAATGTTTGAAAGCCTTTCTTCTTTCTTTTTATTTTGTGTAGTAATCATTTCGAGAGAATGGAGAGTAGTATGCAAAACTTGTTGGAGAAATTAAGGCCACTTGTGGGTGCAAGAGCTTGGGACTATTGTGTTCTTTGGAAACTAAATGAAGACCAAAGGTTGATTTGATTCTTCTCATGAGCAATAAAGTTTAAAAGTGTTTTTCTCTCTCTTTTGTTTTTTAATCTTTCTCTTTCGTCACATTGTTTCTTTTTCGGTTTTTTTTGAGGAGACAGGTTTGTGAAGTGGATGGGATGCTGTTGTGGTGGAACACAACTCATAGAAGACAATGGAACCGAAGAGTTTAGCTTCGGAGGTTGTAGGGATGTTATGTTTCATCATCCTCGCACCAAATCTTGTGAATTTCTTGCACATCTTCCTTCTTCCATCCCTCTTGATTCCGGGTACGTATGAGCATATTTATTGTTTCATAAGATATAATCTAGAGATGGAAAATAAAATGGACTTTGTTGTAGGATATATGCGGAGACTCTTCTGACTAACCAGACCGGTTGGTTGAGTGAGAGCTCAGAGCCAGGTTTTATGCAGGTACGTTGAAGTTTGAATAATCACAAACAAATGATTAATTTTACATGAACAAGAACACTCAAAATTTCAGTTTTCTTGATTCCAGGAAACAATCTGCACTAGGGTTTTAATTCCTATACCAGGAGGACTAGTTGAGCTCTTTGCGACCAGACATGTATGTTTGATGTCACATATGTATATTTTTTGTTCTTAGTTAATTGTTAAACTTGTGGTGGCTTGTGATGATCAATGGGTGTACGTATAGGTTGCTGAAGATCAGAACGTGGTGGATTTTGTAATGGGACATTGCAACATAATGATAGACGATACCGCAACGATCAACATGATGGTAGCCGACGAGGTTGAATCGAAGCCGTATGGGATGTTATCTAGTGAAATGCATCCAAAGGGTTCGAAGGATGAAGACATGATGAATCTCCCATCGTCGTACGATATTTCTGCCGATCAGATCCGGCTCAATTTCATGCCACAGATGAGTGATTATGAGGCACAACAACAACATTTGAAGATGAAGAGTGATTATCATCATCATCAAGCTTTAGGGTATCTCCCGGAGAATAGTAACAAGGAAATGATGGGTATGAATCCATTTAACACGGTGTCAGAAGATGGGATTCCTGTGATCGGCGAGCCTAGCTTGCTTGTGAACGAACAGCAAGTCGGTAATGATAAGGAAACGAACGAGAACGGAAGGTTGGATACTGGCTCGGATTGTAGTGACCAGATTGATGATGAAGATGATCCCAAGTACAAGAAGAAGTCAGGAAAACAAGCTCAAGCCAAGAACCTGATGGCTGAGAGACGACGAAGGAAGAAGCTAAATGATAGGCTTTACGCTCTCCGGTCGCTTGTTCCCAGGATAACCAAGGTATATGTTTCTTTCTAGGTTTCCTGCTTCGTTATTATGTGTTTTCTGATACTAGCTTTTGTTGGCATGAAAGTTGGATAGGGCATCGATTCTTGGTGACGCAATCAACTACGTTAAGGAGTTGCAGAGTGAGGCAAAGGAGCTTCAAGACGAGCTTGAAGAGAATTCAGAGACTGAGGATGGATCGAATAGGCAACAAGGAGGGATGAGCCTGAACGGGACAGTGGTCACTGCGTTTCACCAGGGGCTTTCGTGTAACTCCAATGTTCCTAACCTGAAACAAGATGTTGATCTTGAGAATTACAATGATAAAGGACAAGAAATGGAGGTTAGAGCGAACATAAACTCTCACCTTTCTATATTGAACTCTAAAACAGCAATTCTCATAAGATCGGTTTATGTTTTGGGGTGAGGGGGTTTCAGCCGCAGGTGGACGTGGCTCAGTTAGATGGCAGAGAGTTTTTCGTAAAGGTGATTTGTGAATACAAACCAAGAGGCTTCACAAGGCTAATGGAGGCACTGGATTCTCTGGGACTCGAGGTTACAAATGCTAACACGACTCGCTTCCTCAGCCTTGTCTCCAATGTCTTTAAAGTCGAGGTATGACCTGCAGAATGAAGAAACAAAAACCAAAACAAAACATACAAAACTTATATGGTTCTTGTTTATTCTCTCCAATGTTACAGAAAAATGATAGCGAGATGGTGCAAGCTGAGCATGTGAGGAACTCGTTGCTGGAAATAACCCGGAACACATCTAGAGGATGGCATGATGATCAGATGGCAACCGGTTCCATGCAAAACGAAAAGAACGAAGTTGACTATCAACACTATGATGATCACCACCATCAAGGCGGTCATCTTAACCTACATGATCATCAGATGAACCAGAGTGCTCACCATCATCACCACCACCAACACATCAACCATTACCAAAACCAATAAGGAACATGTTCCCAGAGCTATCTTATGATTTTCATAGCAAGATGTGTGATCTTTACAAGAGGAAGAAATAGACATTAACATCTGCATAAATACGCTTTAAAGATTTTTCCATTTCAAGAAATAATAATAATAAAGAAAGGAATGTCAGTTCGAGAACAGTTCCTGTATCCAAAACCTGGAATAAAAAGGGAAACTGCTCTAGATTCTCATGGAACTGAAGCGAAACAACTTTACTCAGTTAATCTTTGTTAGAGGTTTTTAACAACTCATGACAAAAGAAGTGTTGTAATGCACCCCTAAAACTTTTAAGCAGGCGGCTCCAAAACATGACCAACCAAAAAAAATTCATTTGCCAATATTGCTGGAGCGGATGGGGTTACAACTCAGGAACATGCAATTCTTGTATAACTCAAAAACAAAAAGAAAAACTCTGTTACACACATTTCAGACATATCTGCGTTTGAAACCTGTAATAGTAAAGAAGCCACAAACCTTCACTTGGTTCATTGGCAATGTGGTTGGTGTATATCCAGCTCCTTTGAGGCTTGTGTTATTGTTGCTGCAGATGTTTGAATTCATTGCAGTCAGCTCCTACCTCATTTAGCGCTGAGAAAAGCTTTGGCGCGATCTTAGCCAACATAAGCTTAAAACCAACCGAAGTTGAATTTGCACTGCTGCGTTCATCGATAACCGAGGCATCTTTGGTGAGGGAACCTATTAGATATCCTTTCATGTAGGCGTCACATGCCTTCAAGATGTAATAACCGCGTTTTCTGAAATGCGCTTTGATGAGTTCTTCAAAATCCTACAGAATTAATCACAAATTAAGAAAAATGACGTTTGTGTTAAATGTGAAACTTTTCAGTGTGATGGAGCAAAAGAAAGAGAAACAGAGGTGTCCTTTACCTTTGGTGGCTTCCGCATAAGATACATCATGGTTTTACAATTTAGCAAAAAAGTATTCTCGTTATATCCCAGTGAGTTTTTTTCTCCTTCCGCAGTTCCGATCTGCTTATCGTACCCAGCTTCATTGAAATAAGGCTTTGAATTCAACACCAATCCCTGGAGTGAAACAAGGACTTGAAGGATGCTAGATGATTTGGGATCCCAGACTTCATTTCCTCTCCCAGTCCAGGTATTAAGAAGGCTAAGACAGACCTTGCCTTCTTCATACAGATTGGGGTTTAACCTCCAACCACCAGAATGATAATATGCCGACTGCAGAATGAAAAGCCAGACAGAACATTATTTCATATTATGATTCATTTAGGTTGTGCACATACGAATCATAAGAAAAACTAGAAACTCATACCGGTGGCACACTAGGGTAGTCAGGCGGAAGGTGAAAATCAAAAAAGAAGAGACCATCTTGGTATGGTGTTCCATATGCGCCAGCTATTACGGCCCTCAAGAGATCCATTCTATCTTCGTAAACTCGAACAAAGATCCCATCTGCCAAAGGTAATAAAAAAAAAAATTCAATAAGAAGCTACCAATCATGAAATACTGCTGAACATTTTAACTGTACGGCTACACATTCTTACCAGGAAGATTGTTCTGAAGTATTTTCCAGTCTTGATCAACCTTTTTGAACCATTGTCTTTCCTTGGTTTTCTGCAAGTTTGATACGACACTTTTATGATTCAAACTCAAGTTTCCATTTTAAACTGTAACGGGAAGAAATCATATTTTATGGGTGTATTTTGAACCAACACATGAGTTCTCTGAAATGTTTGACCTACCTGCCCATCTGCGCCAAGAAAATGGTGATCCAGAGGATCTTGTGATATATCAAAGCGTCTGAAACTGCAACTATCACCTTCGGAAGGTAATAGCGCAGGTTTTTCACTCTTTGATCTTTCTAATGCATCGTTAGTAGAGGTTTCCCCACTCAGATGATTCTCGGCATTTGCTTGAATGCCATCTGACTCACAGTTATCAGTCGCACTGAAATTTGGAGGGCTAGGGTCATCAAGGAAAGAATTATTTTTGTTGGAAGAGTTTGTCAGTTCAGCCTGCTTATATTCATTTTCACCAGTGGAACCAGAACTGGAAGAATCTTCATTTCTCCGTCCACGAGAAAATATTCCACTAGCTAGTCGAGTCACGAATTCAATTGCAGCTAGTGGGAGAGCTAGGGCACCATTCCTCCCAGAATCATGGTCAGCATTGATTTCTGCATCAGAGTTTTCCTCCAAAAAACTATCCCTTCCAAGATCCTGTAAATTAAAGATTATCATTGATTGGGCTTCAAAGAGGAAAATCATTGCAACCTTTGAGTGGTGAACAATTCAGTAACATTTTCTTAACAAAACAAACCTCTTCAGGAATCTCAGGAGCACCCCTCTCATCATCGTCTAAAGTTTCCCAACTAGCAGCATCACTTGCTTCACTTTCTGCTGAAACTGATTCATCATCATCCCGTCCAACTACATAAACTGCGTGAGGGCCAACCTAAGAAAAGAGAAAAAAAAAATTAGAAATTAAAAATAACAAATACCAAGCCTTGCTCGCAGTAAAAGTACCATCAGATTCAGGAGATATCTGATTTATTCTTGCACAGATAGTCTCGTAAAAAACCAATTTGTATATATCTCCTAGATCATTCAAATGAAAAAGAACTGCTCTCCAAATTATTCCTTTTGACAGGTAATAAATACCAGCAAGAACATGATCAAACAGTTTTAAATTAGAACAGCAAGTGTACTGAAGCACTCCAACATTTGGTACACGTTCCAAATTCTATATTGAGGAGAAAACCATTCTAAGTGAATCGACTAGTTGAGGATAACGTACCGTTGATACCATTCCATCGGCCCATGTTACTTCGATATCACCATCCTTTAGACCAGTAATATTTCCAACCCATGAGAGCTCTGAAAGGTTCGTATTAACTTCGTTTTCTTCCTTATCATGGACTACAGCTTCTTGATGATGTTCTGTATCTTGCTGTCCATTGTCTTGCTCCGTTGCCACCTCTGGAGAGTTTTCGGCAGAAGATGCTGGTAACACCATAGTAACAGGTGATAGTCTAATAACAACATCCCCATAACAGTAGTCATAATCTGGATGGCCCTCTAGTTCATAAACACTAACAATTTCCTCCTTGTCAAACTCACGGGGATCTTCTGCCCTTTCAAGTGGCTTCAACCATCTCACAGAAGCGGTACGTTCTTTTGCATTGACACTTTTAACAACCCCAACACGCTTAGCTTCAGTTGTGTTATCACCATCATCCGAAGCCTTCTCCACCACATACTGCTCAGCGACAAATTCATGATCACCAGGAGTCTCAATTGGAATCAATGTTGTTGCTCCTCGGTTACATTCTACTGTACCATCTTGCCAGGCTACATCAACACGCGTTCTGCTATTAACTACCAAAAGAGCTCGTTCAAAGCTTTCCTCTTTTTTCTTGACCTTTTTGTCCTTTCTAATAACAATTTTCCGTATCTTCTTACGATGAAGAGGCCAACGTTCATGAACAGGCTCCTTTGAAATAGAAGAAACACTAGTTTCTTTTGACAAAGCTACAGAAGTAATACCAGCAGATTCATTCTTTTCGCTTACATCATCTTGAACATCTTCCGAATCGCAGCCACTTTTTTGTTGCCGATCTGCATAATTTGCTTGAGAATCATAAAGTCGTAATTTAGATACATGCTTATGTAAGGGAATTGTAGCAGTTTGATTCACCGATGGAAGAAGGGCCCAGTCACCTACTTGCCAACTGGCATGAGTGAAAGATGACAACAATGTCAGATTACTTGGACTCTGCTCCTCAGGTGGGGAAACAGAAGAATCTGGCCCAAAGCCAGCTGAAGCAATCCAGTAGACAAAAACAGATCCGGCGGTAACTTTGGTCACAGTACCTTCTAAGCGGTTGGGCTTCCACAATCCAGAAAACCACCGGGAGTTCTTGAAAATCGATGAAGAGCTTGCTTTGACACGCTGGCCTGGGTGATATGGAAAGTTTGCATCTTCTTCAAGGTTGTTCTTGGCAATAGGTTTCAGTTGAAGGGGTTCAACACGTAAGACTTTACACATGGAACCATCATCAAACAACACAGTCACATTGTCCAATACATCATCAATTCTACCTAACCAGGGGCCATGAACCACATAGTCACCAACAGCAAAATCCCTGACGCGTTTCAACTTTTTGGTCGAGATGTCCTTGTGGATAGAACCATCCGGAGCCAATAAATCTACCGATATGTTTACATCCACAACTACTCCAACCTGCCCAGTTGGCTCAGAAGCTGAAGCAACATAATCTCCGTGTAAAAAACCACGGTCTACAACGGTTACATCCCTAATATCTTGAACTGGCTCGGTGTTATCCATCCAAAGAACACGAATCTGCTCACCCTCAAGGACACCACATTTGTAGTTTCCATCGGCTTTTTTCTCACCAAGATTTCCATCAGCATTGCCATCTCCATGGCCAACATTTTCTTCACTGGCTTTTTTCTCTTCCTCTTCATCGGCATCATCATTATTATCGTCGTCATCATCAACATCATCATCTTCTTCGTCGTCTTCCTCATCGCTAATGTCACTTTCAGAGTCAGAATCACCAGCTACTTCGCTCACAACCCCAATACTACCGGTTCTGTTGTTTCTAACAATATCTTGTCGATAAATGTTAGGATGCTCGTTACTTTCTGAATCATTAGACCTATTTATATGACTACTGCTGTTATTCACAGTTGGATCAGATTCAGATTCACTTGCCATTGAATCATCAAGTCGCGAGTCAACCCCACCGTGAGGTGCTGTACCAGGGTCATCTTGCTCGTGTTCCATCTGAAAAAACCAAGCAAAAATAATGATGAGAGACTTCAACAAATCCTCACAAAAACATGTAATGAACTTTTCTCACACCCAATAGCTACAGAACAAGGATCGGCAAAAGAGTAGTATCCAAAACTATGATAGTATGATGCAACCATCCATAGTAGTAGCATAAAAGTCAAAACGAAAAGCTTCCGAATTGATTCAAGCTTTAGACAGAAACAAAAATTAAAATTAAAAAATCTCAAAACGAAGCTCAAAACGAAGCATAACCATAGATATTCCGATTATTCGCAAGCCATGAAATTACATATCTATCTAAACCAAGTTAATAAATGGAACCTAAGATCATCACCAGCTAACAAACATGAAAAGGAGAAGATAAGAATCATTGTTTCCGTGTAATCACATTGAGCTTGCCGATGAATTTTTTTAACAGATTCAAACATAAAGCAACACATCGAGTTTATCGACGAATCAATAATAAGCAAGTACCGGTTGGAATCTTCTGGAAGTGATCGGACGAAATCAAAAGAAGAAGATTTGAAATCGATTATCGTTTGATCGTATATGCAAAATTTTTTCTTTTTGTTTTTGTAAATGGGAAGACGAAAGAACATACGAAGAATTGGAGAAGAGAAAGAAATGGAGGAGAAGAAAGATTGAAGAAGACAAAGAGGAGGAGCTGGGATTCTCTCCCTCAGCGGCGTCAAGGGTATATTCGTCATTATGTATCTTCATGTTTAATCGTATTTTTTTTTAATTTTCGTGACATTCCACCAGCACTACCGATGGGATGGTCCAATGTAGTCAATCTTAGCCGTTGGATTTGCTTACCAAGTCGCCTAATTCAAGCAGATTAATTTGTTCGGTCAGATCCAAAGGGAACCGACATCAAATTCCAATAACCGATTTAAAACCTACAACTATATAAGAAAATAAATATGTGATTAAAACAAAAATCCGAATAGATACCAAACCAAAGGTAAACATATTAGATCAGGTTTTACTTTACATGCCATAATTATAAACCAAAAAATCCTTAAACCAAAATTGGGATTTGAACATCGTTGTTACCTTAAGTGATGTTGCTTCATACGACACAGTTACAAAAAATAATAAGTGAGCTTATGATTTTAGACACTTAATTATACGGTATATGCGAAATTAGCAATTCCATATGTGGATAAAAGAAATAGTCAACTTTCATTTGATTTCGAGCCCTAAAACAAAGTCAAAACATCCTTAAGAAATCTAAAATATGTTGGCATGATACAAATTCTGAATTGAACGTAAAAAAAGGTATGAAATGAAAGACGACAAGTAATAAATCACACACATAATAGTATCTACGACTTAAAAATACATGAAGCGGGTAAAAGTACAAACTTAAATTTGACGTACAACATTCGTCAAAACATTCGATTTTGTAATAATAACCCTTCACCATCGCAAATATTTCATCATCACACACGCTTTAATAACCACCAAAAAAAAACCTTTTCTCAGCTCCAGAAACAAACCTACTTACTCTCGGGGAACTTGGCCTCATAAGTCTCTGTGGTCTGCAAAAACAAAGGAGGAAGAAGATTCGTTAACAGAGAACGAAATCAAACTGTCTGAAAGTGAGACAAGTCAATGTTACCATGTAAGTCGCTGTAATCATCTTTCCGGCAAACCATCTTCCATGGAGAGCACGTTGTGCTCCCATGGCTGCTTGCGCATTTTCAAATCGCAAGTATACAAAACCAACGCTGTTCCTGTTTTCGAGCAATAGATAATAAATGTCAGAGATCATTCTCCTCTTTTCCGAGTGTGCAAAATTAATGAAAGATCACTCACTTGTCAACAAAGATATGATTCAGATTTCCGAACTTGGAGCATTCTTCTTGAACATCTTCTTTGATGTCCAGGTCAAAATCTGGTTCAGTCTGCGTAACAGATACATGTATAAAGAAGAATTAACTTGAGTTACAAACTGTTAAAGAGACAAGAAATTGTTTTAGCAGATCACCACCAACCTCTGTAGATGGATCAAACATGTTTTTAAGCAATAGACATTCGCTTGGGACGCCAACAGGGTCGAGCGCGGCTGGCATATTTACACCGGGAACGTTCCCGACTCCAGCGAGTCCAGCAACAGGAGGAAAACCGCCTTGTACAAGAGGAGCCACCAATGGTGAGATTGTCGAGGCTGCACCGTGAATAGATCCAGCTGCAGTAAGGCCAGTGCTGCAGAGAAGATTGGAATGTTTTAGTGGAATGGAAATGAGGAAAGCAATCTACATAAACCGAAATAAGTAACAAGAGAGAGGGAGAAACCTTGATGCAGTTCCACTGCGATCGAGCTTCTGCATGAGAAGTGCGCGCGATTGTGCATTCAGAGACTGCAGTATTAAGTAACCAGGTTAGGCTACAAGAAAGAAAGCATTTACTGACAATGTTCGAAAAGTAATTCCATTTTCTTTTAGTCCACTATGGTCTTACGCATAGTAGCTATTTATTGTTATAGAGAACCAGATTTAGTAGTAAAATTGTCCACAAGTAACCCCCTTTTATTAAGTTGATTAAAACTATGTTCACTTTTTATCTATACAATCCTACATTATGCGTTTCCTATATCTATTCTGTGAAACAGATTCCTTGAGTTCTCCAGATAGATCCATGAACTATGTCCTCTTTTGGAAGTTATATTAACAAGAATAAGACAATACTAACCAGGCCCGCTCCATCATCATCATCCAGATCACCAGTGTTTTGCGATTGTCCAGCTTCTGGGACTTCAGTTTGATCTGTAACAGCTGACACCTAATGAAAGGTAAAACGGCATCATCAAGAGACATAATGTTCCGCTACATGCTGTTTAGAAGCCTTGACACAGATTCAAGATGGTTTGGTTTACTAAAGATATCCGCCAAATCAATCTACATGCAGGTGTCATGGCTCATAAAATTTTCCTTAGAAGATGCAAAAACTAACACCACTAAACGCAGAGAACATGAATGATGAATGTCTATTTGGTAGTTATATCATAATCTACCCACATAGAAAGGATCCTTGTTTCGTAGAATCAATAAGATACTTCATACAGCTAAAGCTCTCTATGGCCTTCCGGATTGATATCAGATATGAAATAACGAAAATAAGTTCAACCACTACCTTGATTGCACGATTTGCAATCTCCAACTGCCCATTCAGATTCAGTGCATTCCTAGCATCCTCCAGGCGAGCAAACTGTAAGGTTTAAAGAAAGATAAGATTTCTATTAATCACAAAAGCACATCACAAGAAGTCAATACTGACATTGACTCAACCTACCTGAACAAAACCAAATCCTTTGCAATGGCCGGTTTCATCACGAGGTACTTGCACCAGCTCCACACTCCCAAATGGTTCAAAAACCTAGGAATGCCAAAAGGAAAGTATTATGATCCTGATAACTCAAGATGATCTGTGGTTTGTACAATACAGGAATATTCACTTCTGTTCTAACAATTCTCTGAATTAATCCATATCACACTTTCATTATCATAGCAGTTGGATAGTTAATTTCGAAAAACAATTAAAATTAAATAAGTGTCACACTATAACTTCTCATAGAAATAAAATAGCTTACCTTTCGCAGATCATCTTCTGACATGTTAACATGCAGGTTACCAACATAAAGACGTCTAGCTCCCCCAGAATAGGGGCCCAGCATCCCTCCAGCTCCAGCGGCAGCAGTTGTTGACTGAACAAGATTCTTCTCAGCTTCAGATGGTTTTACCATAACAGGCTGACCAAGAAGAGGCTGTCCAGATAGAGCAATAGCCATAGGGACTGACATTGTATCATAAAACTCCACATACCTGCAAGCAGGACCAACTTAGAAACTAGCAAACAGTACTGAAACAAGACGCATCATAACAATTACACTATTTATGTGCCCAGAAACTAATAGAAGATTATCAGTGTACCAAGTACCAACAATTGAGGATTCTTTAACATGAACAGAAACTTGTTCTCCGCACAAAAGTCTCAAAGAATCAAACTGTTTTAAACTCACCCGATTCCTCTCGAACGCCTGGAAATTCGATCCATAATTATCCGCACATCTCGTACCTAAAACCGTATTAGAACGCAATGTGTTAAAAAAATTTTTAACTGAACCAGAACAGAACAACATTTAGATGGCGACATGAAACCGGAAGAGAAGAGGACAAACCTTTCCAGCTCTGGAGAAGAACTCATACACATCCCTTTCAGTGGCCCTCAAAGCAATCTGTTGCACAGATATTCACAAACCATCAACTATTGATCAAGTTAAAATGTTACGAAGGAACCATAGCTATCACAGCAGGAATACCTGATAGGCAAAAACTGTCCTCTGGTCTCTTTCAGGATCAGCCTCAGGCTCTACCTTATCCTCTTTTTTATCTTTATGGCGTCTGCATAATAACAAACACGTGAGTTTGTTAACTTTTATAATAGATACCTTTTCAATCATATTTTCCAAGCTGTCCCAACATCTTTAGAACATGCCAGGGAAAACATATCAGAAGGCATCTTCTGATACGAAGCAATATATTAGTATTAGGACAATTTAAAACACAAAACTTTTCTCCGATAGACGTACACACGTGAAGCACGAGAAGGCCCTGCAGGGAACTATGCGAAGTCAACAAGTGATGAACAATAGCATAAATTTAAACTTAGAACTTCTTTCATTTATAATTTAGCACAGGACCAACCTGAAGTCTAACCAAAAACGTTTTACCTTCTATTACAATGATAATCTTAAACGGAACGAGCCCCATCAAGTTGTACAGAAGGCAATACCAATGGACCTAATAGCATTATGAACCTGTTAAAACTTATAGCTTACATCAAAGCTATTGTACCATAACCCAAAAAGCACAAAGGGGTTTCCAAATTCAAAGTCAATTCACGAAAACAGGAAGCCCGCATCATCAATTTTAGTCACAGATTCACCAATAACATACCATGAACAACTCTTCTTGAAAAAATGTTTGAGACTTAGGATCTAAAATGTGAACTAGCCTGCAAAACGCAGAGTACCAGAGACAATCACCAACTTGGATGTGTCCCTTCAACCCCAGGAAGTATGACACAATTTATGAAAACAAATCGGTATATTGATTGAATGCAGTATGCATGTATGAGAACAATAAATTAAAACAAACAGAGAAGGTGCACCTGCGATCTCTATCACGGTCCTTGGTATCTCTTTCCTTAGTTTCTATCTCCTGGCTCTTTTCTCTTTCCTGACTCCGATGTCTCTCTGACCGACTCTTGCTTCGCCGTGATCGATCTCTCTCCCGATCTTTATCATGGTCACGCCCTTTACTGTCTCGGTCCTTGTCCCTGTCCCTCTCTCTATCTTTCCCATTTCTTTCTTCTTTATCTCTATCCTTTTCGCGATCTCTATCTCCTCTCTCCTTGTCTCTGTGTTCCCGGCTACTTCTATGCCTATCCCTCTCTCTGTCTCTAGATCGTGAACGGTGGTGCGATCTCGACCGCTTAGAACGCCGACCGTCCTCGTCTTCGTCCCTCTTCTCATCACTCCTGTGCCTCGAGCTTCTACTCCGTTCTTTTACTTCAGGTTTTGCTTTCTCATCACCACCACCATTTCCAACTTCGTTCTCCAGGTGGGGATTCTCAACTGTCTTCTCTAGGTACTCATACTCATCAAAGTCCATACTAGGGAAGGTATCCTAGTCAAATAACTTCAATACCAGATCACTCTCACTCAATGCCTAGAATCTACAAAACTTATATCAAAAAGTAAAATTAGCACAAGCACAACTTCAACATCACTCCCAATGGAAAAATTACTCATACGGCGAGTGTCTAATATCGATTCCAAGCCCTAATTACTTGAAATTAGATCCATATCTACTACTAGGTTTCTCCTTGAAAGCAAATTGAAAATGAAAATTCCAGCATACGAGGATTTCCAGATTGAAACTGAAAACGAATTTAATAACTCGATGCTTACCTCTGGCAAAAAAAACGAAGAAGCGAAGAGAAAACGACGAACTGAGAGAAACTCGAAGCTGCTCTCAATCTGGAATCTCCCGCTCGCTCGAAATCTAGGGCAAAGAAGAATGGCTCTAAAGACGAAGCTTGTGAGGTGGTCGCTAACTCTCTATAGGTTACCACTTGCCAGATTCAGCCTAAACCCCTCTTTTGGGCCTTAGGCCCAATCCTCTTTTTTCAACGTATTTTACAATTTTTTCAAGTTTTCTTTTATTCTGTTAATTAAATTAAAATTACAAAAATAAATTAGATTCACACAGTCACACTGTTTCTAATCAATCTTCTCATTCATAGATTATTGAGAGTAGTGGCCAAACAAAATTTGAATGATTGTTACAAGTGTATGCAATGGACTATTTGTTACACATAAAGTAATGAGCCTCAAGAAGAGCATCACGGCAAATAATTGCAAGTTCTTCAAATGGGTAGTTTCTAGTTCTTTTTTGGGGTGCTGAAAATCCCATAACTTGAAGGACCACTAGATCTTCCAGGGCCCGTAGGTTGTTGATTAGGAGCTTCGTTTGGCAACCGGGTTTGTGGACGTGGTGGAGCCCGGGGTGGGTTTGGTGGCGGAGGTTCAAACCGTCCGGTAGGTTGTTGGTTTGGAGCTTGGTTTTGGAATCTAGGTGGAGGACCTTGCCGGTCTAGGTGGCGGTTTGGAGATGGCCCAGAGGGTTGCTGATTTGGAGCTTGGTCAGGGAACCGAGGCCGTAAAGGACTTGGAGCCTGGTTTGGATACTGAGGATCAAACCGGCCACTAGGTTGCTGATTTGGAGCTTGGTCTGGGAACCGAGACCGTGGTGGATTTGGCGCCTGGTTTGGATACTGAGGATCAAACCGGCCACTAGGTTGCTGATTTGGAGCTTGGTCTGGGAACCGAGACCGTGGTGGATTTGGTGCCTGGTTTGGAAACTGAGGATCAAACCGCCCAGTAGTTTGTTGGTTTGGAGGTTGATTTTGGAACCGAGGCCTTGGTTCACTTGGAGCCTGGTTTGGAGACTGAGGATCAAACCGGCCATTGGGTTGTTGATTTGAGAACCGAGGATGTTGTGGGGTTACAGGCTGGTTTGGAGACTGAGGTTCAAACCGGTTTGCATCTCTACCTCGTGAGAAGTCAGCGGTCGGTTCTCTATTTGCATACCTGTTAGGGACTTGAACTGGGTTGGCCTGCTTAGCAGGGAGGTCAGGTTCGACCGTCTCTAAATCAACCTCATCATCGACACTAGACACTCCGGTTTCCGAGCTGTCAGACTTTGCTGACTCATCTTTTATTCGAGCAGCAGTTTTTAAGTTCATTTCCTTCAACTTTATCGCTTTTCCTTTCTTGGGTGGTCCGAACTTGGCGTGTCTAACTACCACAACTGCGTTGCCTCTATCCGCTTCTGGCCCAAATTCCACAAGTGCATCTTCGATCTGTACCAATAAAAGTATAACAAGGATGGATGTTATACGGAGCCGAGGATTTAGACCAAAACAAAGACGAGAAAACTGGATAAGCGAGTAGAAGGAGAAGGTGTTATAGAACATAGAGAAGTAGGGACTTACATAACAAGTGAAGCGAGATAGTAACTCAAGCAGCTTCTCTGGTTCAAGCTCCTTCTTCTTGTCCTTGTCAGGAACTGCATGACACTGTTACACAAAACAGGGAAGAAAGAAAGATAAGTTGTTACTTTTTTCACCTCAAGTCAACTAATAAAAAGAAGCTACTTGGGGCTTTGATTATACTGCGGCATCATGAAACAACCATGTTTTCTAACATAAATATCTACACACACTCGAAAATAATCACTTCTTCACGAGTCCCCCTTAAAATGTCCATGAGAAACCAGTAATCATAAAAGAGATCAAGTCACCAAGAAATTACTACCTTGACACGATATCCACTTTCCATCAGTTTCAATGCTTGTTTTGCTTTAAACTGTAGGTCCTTTGCCTCCTGAATAGAAAAGAAAGTGATGCAAAAACGTCGTTGTAGTTTTTTCATTACCACACAAATGAGAAGAAGAAGAAACAGAGAGCGTTTCAAGAGAAAACATACAATTTTTGGAGTAAATCGAATTTCCTTGACCTCAGGTCGAATGGTTACTTCAGCGCGCTAGAACAAGGCAAAAACAATAAACCCAGGACAAATACAAATTATATTTTGAACAAAACAAACTGAAGAGTTTTAAGTATGAATGGCCCATATCACAGACCTTGGCCTTAGCACGCTCCTTTCCTGCTTGAGCTTTTTTGTACTTCTCATGCGAGTAGTCTACAATTTTACACACTGGTGGGTTAGCATCTCTCTGGACCTACAAGACAACAGCAAGAAGAAAAAAAGGAGACACACATGGAGTAAGAACATTTTACAAGGATACAAATTGGGAAACATGCAAATCACAGATACATGTTAACAAAGATCTCCAGTTCAAATCATCAGAAACAGCTTCTAGAATAATTAATATTTTAATTAACAAGTTACCTCAACTAAGTCCTGCTTGAGCTCCTTAGCCCGTCTAAGGGCTTCCCTCAGCGATACAACACAGTGTCCTGCATAACGACTAAACAATATGACACGTTCCTCATTATCAGAATCTCCGAAACTCCACTTACTTTTTTCTTCATTTCCTTATGTGTTCTAAAGCTGTACTTTGAAATTCTCACAGATGTCACCCACTTCGTTAGTTAGCTCAACATGAACAACGAAATTTTAACTGACTCCATTTATAGATACTACCAAAAGGAATTTACTAACAAAACCATGTATTCAGATATTTCGTCTTTAGCTTTTTCGTTATCTGGTACATAAAAAGGTGAAGATTAAATTACCTTCCTCGGAAACCAATCTGACAGTGTCGCCAGTAATCTTCTCATTGAGACGTGGACCATCAGATTCAACTCCCTCTTCCTTCTTCCTTGCCTGGAACAACATAATTAGGGAACAAGGCCATAGGATATAGATATACTGCAACATAATCGCTCTCTAAGCCAAAACGTTGTTCACTGACTTCAATTTGCCAAAAATAGCCGGAAGTAAACAAATTCTAAACACATAAAATCCAACACATGCCCTATAAACTGCAGTTACACTGTCTTTAGTAGACAAACTCCAAGACGCAATCACATAGATAAAAAAAAAAAAAACAAATCTTGTAGGGTCCCAGATAGTACATACAGTTCTCTTACGCATCATCAAATGCAATCTAAAATGCATCGACAATAGCAAATTGGGTGGGAAATTAACCAAATTACAACAAATTTGGAAAGACATAAATATATACAAATTGGAGAGACGAAGCTACGAATCAAGAAACGGCAGAGTGACCATAACAACATAGAAGAACACACTGCTGAGAAAAGAAAAAAAAATGTGTACCTGAGCTGAAGTGGCAAGGAACCTGACATTTTCGAAGACTTTAGAAGGTTTTCTACAGATATCTGAATTTGGGATGTCAAAAGAACACAACTTTGTCTGCTTCACGGCATGAGTGAGCGAAGTAGCAAGACAAACTTGACTGTAATTCCTGGTTAATTGGTTCGATGTGTACTTGAGGTAAGACCGACTGATCATACGCCAAAACGCCATAGAAAAAGGACACGAGATCCCACAATTGGAAATCAGAATTGAGATTTCAGGAATACAATGGAAGCACGATTTAAGTAGAATCGAACAGAATTGTTTCAATACTGAAGAAGGAACGAAATAGAGGAGGCGAAGAGAAGGGAATAGTGTGGAAAATTTAGAGAATCAACAGAGATGAACGGAACTCTTCAATGGCGGATGCATCTCGTGAAGAAGAAGGCGGCCAAGAGGGAAAAGGGTTCAACGTCGGATCGTGGTTTTTTTTTGTTTGTCTATTTTTTTTCCCAAACACAAAAGCTATTGGGCTTCTGGGCTTCGAATAATTAGATTGTATTAACAATTTTCTAAGTCGAAAACAAAAAAAAAACAAACACACACACGTACACACATATTGGGAGCAAAAAATGTCTCTCTCGCCTACACGTTAAATTAACCAAAAAACAATTGCTTAAATTTAGTTATCATTCATCTTCAAGGTTTATAATTGATGTCTAACTCTAACTCCGATGTCTATGTACTACTCTAGGCTCCAAGTGTTCGAGAATGATGTTGGTACCCGATAAAACCAAATGCTAGTTGTTACAAATCTGATCTGAAAAATAAAACTATATACACAAAAAGCATGTCAAGTAAAACTGTATAGACATGAAGGTAGATTCTAATGCTTTCTTTCATAAGTAAACTACCTTACACATCCGCTATTTTTCCTTATTTGTTTGGTTATATATTGTTTCCACCATTTTACCTCAAACTATTTACTATCATGCATAAACATTTTTTTTGGGTGTGTCGTTACTAGCAGGAAAGTATGTATCATAAAACCTCCACGGGAGACATTTTATCGCAAACAGAGGAAGCAAACGAGTGGTGCCATAATTCGCCTACAGACATACTTTCCTACGCTTATCTTCGACTGGTGCCATAACCGACCGTTTTACGGTTTACTCATGTGTCTATCCCAATAATAACCATTATTGTGGTATCCAAAAATTAAGTCCATTCAGGTTCAGTTGATGAAAAAGTTTTATTAAGGAAAGTTATACTAACCACACTTATTTTGCCAAGATTGTAGAATATAGACTTTTTGTGTCCTGAGTTTGGTCAGCATTCTAGTTTGGTATGGTAAAAAAAAGAATATTAAAAAGAGTAGAACTTTTTTCTTGTTACCGTTTTTTACTCTAGAGGTTTTCTTTTACGACCTCATGTAGAGATTTTATGATACATCATACATAATTACATACTTTCTGATAAGAATTGTGTATTTGAATGATTATGAAATGAATGGAAAGTAAGAGTTCTTCCTCTTAATCTCTAACAAGCCTCAACAAACTTAACCAACTGAATAGAAGATATCTTAATGACTCATGACCCTTTCATATCACAAGGTTCTACTACATAATACGACTCAATTGTGACTTTTCTAAGTCAACTTGCCAGCTCACCAGAAAACCTCCACGGAAGACATTTTCTCAATAATTCGCCTTTTCTTATTCTTTCAGCCAGAATGATAAAAACCGTAAAATAATGAGACCTCTTTATAAAGTTTTTCCAGATCTCCATCTCCAAGGAAAGAAGTTTCGCTGCTGATCAGATCCAATTTATTGATCTGATCTATTGACTATTGTTACTATAAGCAAGAGAAAACACTTATAACAAAATTTAAAAGGAAATTAGTGATTCTGACAAGAAAATCCAAAGCAGGCAAAGAGATCGCGAAAGGCAAGAATCCAGACTTAGCTAGAAATTTTATTATCCCAAAAGTTCCTCTCTAAAAAAGATGAATTAATAAGGATAATGTAGAGGAAACAAACCAAACAAATAAAACTGGATTAAAACCAGAAACAAAATCAGACTAAGCCCAAAAAAACCCGGATTTGCCTGAGATCTGATATCAATAGAAAATTTATAGAAAAACTGAGAAAAAACTCACTCTCTCTCAAAGATGAAAATGAGAGAAGAGAGAACTCTGTATATGATTAATTATTATTAATTAAAAGTACAAAAGATAAGAAATGACTCTCATAAAAAGCCCATACAGAAACTTTTAAAAATTTAAACCCATCAAAAACCCAACTTAGCGTCCTCTTCCTTCTTCTCTGTCTTTTCCAAACTTTGCTGTGCTTTTTTGTCCAAAGAATCATATTCTTCTGCCCCTTCTCACACGAGTGAAATTTACCTTTTTGCCACAACAATCATGGCGGCGACGGCGGTCTGGCAGCCCCGAGACGATGGCCTCGCTGAGATCTGTGCTCTTCTCGAACAACAGATTTCTCCTTCCTCCGTCGTTGACAAGTCTCAGATTTGGAAGCAACTTCAGCACTTCTCTCAGTTCCCCGATTTCAACAACTATCTCGTCTTCATCCTCGTCCGCGCTGAGGTTTTTAGGAGATTTCTCTACTTTCTCTCCGTTTCCTGAGACTTTTTCTTTTGATTTCTGCCTCTTCTCCCTGTATTGACTCACTCTACTTGTCGTAGACGATGAGTCTTTGGAGCTCGGATCGTTGAATTTTCATTTTCCTATCAGATTCTGTTTGTTTTGTTGCTCAGCTTTATTGATTGCTTTGTTTTCTCGAGACTAGAACTTTGGTTTCGGTGTTCTGTGCCCTAGTGGATTTTTCTTTACTTTTGATCATTTTCTTCTTTGCTAGTAGTTTGTGTTTATCTTAGTACGACCTTTTTGATTCGATTTTTTTTTTTTGTTTCCTAATTGACTTCAAGTTTACTTGTATCCAAATGACGAAAATGTTGTGTGTAGAGAACTGATTTAGTTTCTTATTTAGTTGCATTTACATGCTGTAATCGAAGACAAGACTAGCCTGACGTTTTTTTATATTTCTGCTACTGTTTAATTAGGTCTTGCATTATATATGAACATATGTTTCCTAGCTGATGTGTACTGGTATGATGATCAGGGTAAGTCCGTTGAGATTCGTCAAGCTGCTGGATTGCTGCTGAAAAATAATTTGAAGGGTGCATATCCATCCATGGCTCAAGAAAACCAAAAATACATCAAGTCCGAGTTGCTGCCTTGTCTGGGAGCAGTGGACAGGCATATTCGGTCAACAGTTGGAACTATCCTCAGTGTTATTGTCCATATAGAGGGAGTTTCTGGATGGCCTGAGCTATTGCCAGCTCTTGTAACTTGTTTAGACAGTAATGACCTAAATCACATGGATGGCGCAATGGATGCATTGTCAAAGGTGTTTAGCAGCTACGAGTTTTCTTTCCTGTTTCTTATTCTTTTTGGTTCAACCTTCATTTATGAACCATAAGCCTGAATAATCCAAGTTCTGCTTGCTGGCTGTGATATCGTTGGAATTTTTTAAAAGTTTTTGTTATATCTACATGTCTTATCGATCAGATTTGTGAGGATATCCCTCATGTATTGGATTCAGAAGTTCCTGGTTTAGCAGAACGCCCTATCAACATTCTCCTGCCTAGGCTATTTCAGGTGCATATCTCATATTCGGAGACAAATTTTAAACTTGGTTGTAGCACTTGCTAGGTTCTAGTTTGATTTCTTTTCTTACTGTGAGATTTGTTGCATTGAGATTGATTAAATTCTTTTGTTTGATCAGTTTTTCCAGTCGCCCCATGCTTCACTGAGGAAGCTCGCCCTGGGTTCTGTGAACCAATATATCATAATAATGCCTGCTGTAAGTATTGGGAAGACTGGTTATAAAATTTCGTTTTATTTTAGTGGACTCTGATTCATTAGCGGCAGCAAATCCTTCTACATGGTATAAAGGACCATGGATTGTAACAATCTACGTCTTGCAGGCTTTGTACCATTCCATGGATAAGTACCTTCAGGGGTTGTTTGTCCTTGCCAATGATCCTGTAGCAGAAGTCAGAAAATTAGTACGTGTCTTATCTAAGCTTCTGTCAATTGTTTCTTAGTATCTTTTTACAAATATTTTTGTCAGTATACTGTGTGAGAGACTGTTTTCTTTATATGACTCATGATTCAGTCAGAATCCCATCTCATTTCGAAAGTTCTTATGCTTCTGTAATAATGGCTCTTTTTCTTCTGTTTAAAAGGTCTGCGCAGCATTTGTGCATCTCACGGAAGTCCTCCCCTCGTCCATAGAGGTATTTTTCATTGTGGTTTTAGTATACACATTATTTCAAATCTACTCTTAAGTGTCCCTTTTTATGGGGAACTTCTTATGTTTTGTTTTAGCTTCTCTTCTACCCTGCATCTTAGATTTCTCGGCTTCCCTTTTTGTCTATTTCAGCCGCATCTCAGAAATGTCATGGAATACATGCTACAAGTTAACAAAGACCCTGACGAAGAAGTGGCTCTCGAAGCATGTGAATTTTGGTAAAATTTTACCTCTATAGATGACGGTTTTATACCTGTTTTTCTCTTACGTTCTGCTGTTTTTATTCTTTTTTTGGCCTGGTTATTCCATCTTTGTCCTCATTTGTTCTCAAAGCTTTATTGTGGTCTGGCAGGTCTGCATACTGTGACGCTCAGTTGCCGCCAGAGAACCTAAAAGAGTTACTACCACGCCTAATTCCAGTATAGTGATACTTGTCCTTTTTCTTCTGTATATTTTTGGGCACTTAAACATTTACTCAGCAGGTGCAGTTTTAAATTTTCGTAAAATATATCTATTTTAGGTGTTGCTATCAAACATGGCCTATGCAGATGACGACGAGTCGCTTTTGGATGCAGAGGTTATTTTTCTGTTGAGATCATATGTTTTGTCACTTTTCTCAATATAATTGTCAATTTTAAATCGTTTGAAAGCTTTTTACTTGTGCAGGAAGATGAGTCTCAACCAGACAGAGATCAGGTACAGTTATTTTTTCTTGTGACTTTGATTTTTCTTAATTTCCTCTTCAATTTTCATTCATTTTGGCTCCCTTATAGGATTTGAAACCTCGTTTTCATACATCAAGACTTCATGGGTCAGAGGATTTTGATGACGATGTACGTGATCTACTTCTTTTTGTGTCATTTCATATCTGTATAGATGTTGCGTATGTGTGTAAAATACAAATATATTAATTCTATAGATTCCTATTTAATGACTGTCTCTGGCTACAGGATGATGACTCGTTTAACGTGTGGAATCTAAGAAAGTGCAGTGCAGCAGCTATTGACGTTCTCTCTAACGTATTTGGAGATGAAATCCTTCCAGCACTCATGCCCCTTATTCAGGTAAATGTTATTCCTCTCTGTCGTTGCCTCTCTAGAAATTAATACAATTAGCTAAACCCAGTTCTTCCAAGCTGCAGGCAAAATTATCAACTTCTGGTGATGACACCTGGAAAGAAAGGGAAGCTGCTGTTTTGACTCTTGGGGCTATTGCTGAAGGCTGCTTTAATGGTCTTTACCCTCACTTATCTGAGGCAAGTTCATTTCTGATCTACATCATTTCATATATATAATTTTCTCCGCTCATTTCAAGTACATCAATATGCTAGTGCCTTATTTCTGCAGATCGTAGCATTTCTCCTTCCTCTTTTAGATGATAAATTCCCTCTCATAAGAAGCATATCTTGCTGGACGCTTTCTCGATTTGGCAAGTATCTTATCCAGGTATGATTTGAAAAGGATATTGTGTGCTTCAACTGCTTTAAACGGTCGTTAGATGATTCATTGCTTTTATTTTCTAGGAAAGTGGCAATCCGAAGGGTTATGAACAGTTTGAGAAAGTTCTTATGGGTCTTCTCCGCAGACTCTTGGATTCAAACAAGCGGGTCCAGGAGGCTGCCTGTTCAGCTTTTGCAACTGTTGAAGAGGTACATATTGGCCTTGGAGTTTGATATCATTTATGGATGTTGGTTGACCATGTGAATTTTCCATGAACATGTAGGATGCTGCTGAAGAGTTAGTGCCGCACTTGGGAGTAATACTGCAGCATCTAATGTGCGCTTTTGGAAAGTATCAGGTTGTTAAATCCTTTTGAAGTTAACTATTTTGCCAGAATAAATGTCTATGGCGGCTATTATCTACTTCAAATAACTGATTCTATGTGTCTATCTAACATACAACCTTCATATCCCAGAGACGGAACTTAAGAATTGTTTATGATGCTATTGGAACACTGGCAGATTCGGTTAGAGAAGAGCTGAACAAGGTATAACGATTGGGTTTGTCCAAGGTTAATTTGTTCTTGTAAATAGTATTTTTTTTTATGATATACTTGTGCTAGTATAAATTTTGTTGCCTACTTAATATTCCTCCCTTATGCAGCCTGCTTATCTTGAGATTCTGATGCCTCCACTGGTTGCAAAGTGGCAACAACTCTCCAATTCAGATAAAGATCTATTTCCATTGCTGGAATGCTTCACATCCATTTCTCAGGTATGGGCTATTTGTCAAGGCCGTGGAATAGATGTAAAGTCTTGAATTTGTTGTACGAATGACACTAATACTAGTGATACTAATCAGTGAAGTTACCCAGGTTTTGGTAGTCTTAAGAACACTGAAAAAGTAACCTGGGATTGTTGGTCAGCTAAAAGTCCAAAACTTCTTGCATTCGATCAAAAGAGTAGTTAAGAAATTGTTACTAATAGTAGGAGATAACAGTTGTGAACGTCTGCAAGATCATCTTGACGAAATGTTAGACTGTTTGCAGCATGAACTGTCTTTGTCTAACAAATTTTGCTTCCATCTTTCAGGCTTTAGGTGTAGGGTTTGCTCCATTTGCTCAGCCTGTTTTCCAGAGATGCATTGATATCATTCAACAACAACAGCTGGCTAAGGTTCCATTCAGAATTGAGATTTCATATCATTGTAGAGTTAGAGCGATATTTTCCAGTGTTCTTTATTATACTGTCTCAGCTAGATAAGCATCACAGGCTGGCGCCTAGAAACAATTCTTCATATTTTACTGGGGCATGTTCATAATTATTGCACGCTTTTGTTTCTTGTTTGATTAAAGCTTGCTTGTGATGTTTGTAGGTTGATCCTGCTTCTGCTGGTGCTCAGTACGACAGAGAATTCATTGTTTGTGCTCTTGATTTGCTTTCTGGGCTTGCTGAAGGGCTTGGCAGTGGGATAGAGTCTCTGGTACTCCCTTTTCTTCATGTCTTGCTCGCACGGTTTCTATTCATAAGTTCTGATTCAGTGAACAACTCTTTTAGCTGCTTTGATCAATATTCTTGGTATAGTATGATAGAGTCAATTGTCACTACCGGATGTATTCTTACTTCATCGCTCTTATGCAGGTTTCACAAAGTAATCTAAGGGATCTGCTTCTCAAGTGCTGCATGGATGATGCTTCTGATGTCAGACAAAGTGCTTTTGCTCTCATGGGTGATCTTGCAAGAGTAAGCTGCATATTCTTTTGTACTTTAAATAGTTTCCTTTAGCAGAATTGAACAGCCGGGGAAGTCTTGCTCAAGAACAACCCGTAGTTATGTGCGATTATATGCTATAATTTTGATGCCTTTCTGCTAGATGTACTAGTGTAATAATGCCTTTTGGCTACCACTGACAGGTATATCCGGCCTATCTACAACCCCGCATGCTTGAGTTCCTTGAAATTGCCAGCCAGCAACTGGTTGGTACCCAAGTTTTACTCCGACTATACCAATTCTCTTCCTCTTTTGTATTGATCATATCTATGCTTTTTACAGAGTGCAAACCTCATTAGAGAAAACATTTCTGTCGCTAATAATGCTTGTTGGGCCATTGGAGAGTTAGCGGTCAAGGTAATACCAAAATACTTTTTCTCGCTATCGAAGCTTGCAGTTTATGGGTAAAGGCAGACTCGTGAATGACAGGAACTCAATGTTTCAGGTTCGTCAAGAAGTCTCACCAATTGTGACCAATGTTGTCTCTTCCCTAGGCTTGATTCTTCAGCATGGAGAGGTGACTCCAGCAGCCTATAACTTCAAAGTCTGTTAGCCATTTCTGAGTCTATCAATTCCTGTATCTGAAAACTATGCCGGATTTTATTTTCTTGTGAAGCAGGGTGTCAATAAGTCACTAGTTGAGAACAGTGCTATTACCCTCGGGAGACTAGCATGGATTCGTCCAGACCTCGTCGCACCTCACATGGAGCACTTCATGCAGCCATGGTGCCTGGCATTGTCAATGTTAGTGAACCTTTATGTTGCAAATGGAGCCTCTACACTCTCAGCTTCTGCTCCATAGAACAATTTGTGATTATACTTTTCTTTTCAGGGTACGTGATGACATTGAGAAAGAAGATGCATTTAGAGGCTTATGTGCAGTGGTATTGTCTCTCTACTCTCTTGCTTTGTGCCTGAAACATGAAAATCAAGTTTGATATTTACAAGTGCCTCCTCCATATATTCAGGTTAAAGTGAATCCATCAGGAGGTGTCAGCTCACTCGTTTTCATATGCAAAGCAATTGCAAGCTGGCATGTAAGTGAAAAGAAAACCAACTGTGATGACACTCCTAGCCAAGTTCAATCTCTTTACCGAGCTTTGAAATTGTTGGTTGACACACGAATGACAACTTTTTATCACAGGAAATAAGAAGCGAGGACGTCAATAACGAAGTTTCCCAAGTGCTGAACGGCTATAAACACGTAAGCTATGCTGAAATTTTAAGTTCAGCTTTTAATCATCCCAAGCACTCTCGCCTAATCTCTTGTGTCTTTGAATTCATCTTTCTGGGTTCAGATGCTGGGAAACTCATGGGCGGAATGCTTGTCTGCTTTGGAACCTCCCGTAAAAGAAAGGCTTGCCAGATATCAAGTGTAATATTGATTTCTACACCGGTTAGTCTCAAATTTGAGAGAGATGTGCTCTATCTTTAATTCATTGCAAACAACAAATAGATTCAGTGAGTTTGAGCAGAAGGCGCTTGAGACATCATTTTTTTGCAAGATTAAATGAAGAGCAAAAAGGTCACAAGAGAAGAGAGAAAACAGTACAGAGTTTGTGTGTGGGCTCTTCAGATAACAATGGTTGGAAATTTTTACTTACTGTCTTTTTTTTGTTTTCTTTCTCTATTTCTACATCGATTCTTCGTCCTTTTTCTTTCACGGGCAAACATTGTATGGTGGTTTGAGCAGTTTTGGTAATATGTCTGAACCGAAAGAACTAAGGAAGTTTAAGATTCAACTTGTGTGTGAACTATTGGACCTGTGGATACCAATAAGAAGAAAAAATGTGACTGGGATTTTGTGTATTTTCTCTTGCCATCATTCTCTTTTTTCTTGTTTCACTTATTTCTATTATGTCAAATATTGATTACAGTGGTTCTCAGTTGCAGTTTGTCGAGTATGATCTCTAGTTTTCTTAAACATTCTCAAAAGCTCTAAGAATTGTAGAAGATTTTTAAAAATAGTTTACCACAGAGATTCGAAACTTTTTCATCTAGAGTTTGTTTTTTTCAGGATTATTAGTGCTAATGGCAAACACGTCATCTCATCGTACCATTCAAGTTTTCTATTCGAAGATTATTTGGAATGTATATATAATTATACAAAAATAAATAGATAAATTAGAAACCAAAAATTCAAAACTCTCTCAATCGTTTCAATAGAACCAGCCCAAAGTCATAATTGGCTGTGACACTAATTAAGTGGCATTCGTATCGAAATAGTTCAAAATGCGTAGAGTTTTGGTTCAAGATCAGCGTACCATCAAATGTCAAGCCGTTCTTGATCCGGATGTATTTGGATTTACAGAAGAATTCGGCAGAGGTCCATAAACTTTTCACCCAACTTGGACCGAACCTCACTTTGCTCATGCTCTTGCTTTCATGATTCCCTCTACATAGATATTTCGCTGCAAATTTATTAATAAAGGGAACTAGCTAATGTGCCTGCAATGTGTGCGAGTTACAAATGCTTAGTAAATCAAATGTTAAAATTCAAAAAATATTTTATTTATTATAGTTTTTATTGTTATTTATTTATTTATACTAACTTAGAAATTTGAATATTTTTTAGAAAAATACAAAATTAAAATCGATAATTACTCAAAAAAATATATGTAATCCATCAATAAAGTCTAATTTGAGTGAACCATTTAACAATGCAATTTTCCACCACATCCATTACATGCAATCTTATTAATACTTTCAAATATAAACGAACCAATATGATTTTTATAAAATTTTCTCCGTCATAACCCTCAAATTCCACACACATATCTTGCAGATCGATTATGATTCTTTGTTATTTTAGATGTTATGTTGGTAAATATTTTAAAGAACCATGTAGAGAAAAAAAGAGCTAGAAACCATGACGGTGTTTTAATGTTCGTGTTTTAACATTTTCATTGGTTCCGTTGAGTTGGAGATTGATAGAATCACAGATTCATAGTATTAGAAATTTTGTTAAAACAAATTTCGGCAACATAAGCCAATTATTTTGTTTAAATATATTTTTAATGTTTTTCAATGTATATTTTTTTATTGAATATTTGTATGAAACTCAATCCATAATTTTATCCACAGTTGCTCCTTATATAACAGTAATAAAAAAAAATATTTGTTCACTGTGATTTGTCGAGTTTTTTTTTATCATGTGGATCATGCAATAAATAGAAATTATTAGAATCATTGAATTTTTATAGTTAGAAAGTATGAGCCCCATAGCATATACAAAATATAAATAAAATTTAAAAATTTATGTAAAATTTAGATTATATATATATATATATATGTTGTCGCCACAATAGATCAATAAATCAACATGTACTTTTATTATAAATCTGTGCAAAAATAATATTCAATATTTATCTTGTGTATTTTTGGAATATTTATTAACATAATATATACTTTTTACATGGTTGACAGCCTTATCAAAGCCATCGAATACTAACATGTAATATTTTATCCAAATTTAAGAAAACCCACAAATAAAAAGATTATATTCTGTACAATTTCCATGAATTAAAGAGAAGCCCATAAAAAAAAAAGAGATTTGTTTCCTTATGTGTGGTTTAATGAAGTTTAGAAACAAAGAATCAAGTTTGCATTGAGCAGCAGCAACATCAACACTGAGCTGCTTTAGACCAAGTAATTTTCTTCGTAGTTTGATTCCATCATCATGCAGAATGCACACAAAAAAAACCACGAGCCACCAAATATATTAAGAAACCAAAAATATGACTTGAGCCAAAAGATAAAACGATTAAATTGTTATCTCTCGAGAGGCTTCTTCATCTTCCGACGTCCTTATGTCTTAAATTTATTATCTGCATACTCTTTGATCACACTATCTTCTGCATAAGTGTTGTCTCCGAGTTTTTCTCTCTTAAAGTACATATTCTGGACTCATAAGAAATCACTAAACTAAACCACTTTAAACACAAAAATCTTATCTTTAGAGACATGTAGATAGAGAGACACATACGCTATAACACGAAGTATACAGGATGAACAAACGTTGATTAATACTATGTTTTTTCAAAAACTGCAGGAATATGAAGAAGAGAAAGAAGAGGCACACTCCTTAATTAAAGGAGAAATTAAGGAACCGAGATATTTGAAGTGGAGGTGGTGTTTGTAGCGGAGGATTCAATGAGAACGTTAGATGGCAGAGACGAAGACATTAACGATTAACTCCCATTATTGTAATTATGGTTGGCTCGATTAACATAGTGTGTTTTGGCCTTATAGTAGGGTAAGACCACTTGTAAATTTGTAATGAACATTCCACCCGCAGAGTAGAGATTCTTTCTGTAGCTTTCATTTCTTCTTTTTCTTTTCAAAATCTAACTTTAAAGAACTGATACGGCTTCTAAGTTTGCAAAGAAAGCTGTCCTTGAGATCAAGGCCATCACATCTTTCTTTTCCATTATGTGATATTTTATCGCATCCACTAAGTTTTTTTGTCAGATGAAATAGAACCATCTTCTACACACAAAATGGACAGTCAATCAATAACTTTTAGACCATAAGATGATACATATAGATTAATGGTTTATAGAAGTTAGTAGACAGTACTAAATGAAAAATCACGACTATGGAAACAGTAAATTATTTGTATCTCTAGAGTTAGAGCTGGATTTTCGGCTAGACGTCTTAGTGGCTCATGTAAAGCCAATCTTATCGCACAAGTAAAAAAAAAGAAAAAAACTATAGCAAGTGTAATAGATGATATATCGTAAAGCACAAACAAAATTATTGTAAAATAAAAAAATCAAATAATAATCACACAAGAAGCACTTTCTTTTCTATTTCAGTTTGGAAATCAATCTCAATATCTTTACAACGATCATAAGAAATAATTTGTAACCCAAAAGGCACGATCAAAAACAAAATGAATACATAAAATATTTTCATAAACAACATGAACCAAATTCATTTAACACTATAAGGAATAAACAAAACGAAAATATAGTAATGAACCATCATAGATTTAATCCAGAATTGAGGATGCTTGACCATACAGAACAAAAGATTAATTAAGGATACTTGGCCATACAGAAAAAAAAATTAGATGAGATACTTAGCCTCGGCGAGTGAATTTGAGACCAGAAGGTGTATATGTTCATAGAGACCAGTGTGTATAGATTCATTCATGTGCTAGTTCATATGATATTCACCTCCGAATTCCGTGGAGTATTTGGTATTATATTTGGTGTTCAACTTGTTCCATATGATAGAGCTTAAGCATTCTATTTCTTCATTTTGTAAATAACGAATGTTATTAGGGTTTGTTAGGTTTTACTAAAATTCGGTTCTATTAAATTTGAAAAATGGTTTGATTGATAATGTAATGAACCATTAAACCAATGTTTTTAAACCTGACCCGGATAATGACTCAAAAAGTTCTTTGGGTTATCGGGTCATTGGGTCAACCTGGATCAATCCAGTCAACCGCGGGTCAACTAAGTATAAATGTTAGTTATTTTTTATTTATAAAATTTATAACTTTAGTTACATTTTCTCTATGTGTGTAAAAAAAGAGTTATTCTAAAAATTTATGTCATCGAATCAAATTAATTATCACAAATCTTTTTCTGTATATTTTTATTTTTAAAATAAATTTTTAAATAAAATATATACTATACTTAGTGATTATATTAATTATATTTTTAAAATCTATAATTATATTTTTCATTCTATACTTTTTTCATTCAATTTTTTAAAAACTATTAAATTTTTATCATCAAATTTTATATTATAAAATTTACTAATGTGTAATGATGAAAAAGAAACAAGACATTCAATAAAATAAAGGAAAACAAACTGTTATTACTACAAACTGTATGAGTTTAGGTTTTTGCCGGTTCACCGGATTTGAGCAAATTTTTCTAGGTTTGAGAGGTTTAATAAAAGCCAAACCAAAAATCTTGCCAGGTTGTGATTCAACCTATCGGACCGCTCGGTTCGGTCTGGGTCTAAAAATATTACACTAAACCATAATAATTTATAGCGGTTTGTTTTAAGTTATTTTAACACATCATCATATAAGAACCAATACAAAAATGACAAGTAATTAAAAAATAGGGTTAAAAGGTTTTTTTGTAATCGAAACTCATTCTGGAGCTCAGTGCGGAGTCGACACCTAAGCAAATCACTACACAAATAAGTATATAGATATGGTCAACTGTTATTTACATCAAATTGGAATTTGATTGTGAACAATAACAAACGCAACATTGAACACTTTACCAATATTGTTCCTATAAAAACTTACAGTTTTGACATATAAACATCAACAAATTTCAGAAGGTTTTGCTTACGTGTCATCTCCAGAACGAGTTTCAGCTACAAAAATTTTTTAAGCCCATTTTTAATTACATGTCGTTTTTTGATTAGTTCTTATATGATAATGTGTTAAAATTGTTTAAAACAAACCGCTCTAAATTATTGTGGTTTAATGCCTCATTCCATTATTAATCAAACCGTTTCTAAAATTTTCTAAAACCGAATTTAGTAAAAATCTAATAAAAAATTAAAAATCAATAAATAGTCTAATGGAATGATGGTATTTGTGATGTCTAGATTAGGGTTTTTGACTTCAAATATTTTAGTATAAATATATACAACTTCTTTCTAATTCTCTCACATCTTTCTAGATTGTTTAACCTCTTATTTTTTCTTCGAATAAGTTCGTACAGTAGTTCAAACAATTATGTCTAAAATACATAGAACAGTGATTAAAATCGAATAAGTTTGTACGGTACTTCAAGAACTACGTCTAAATACATAGAAAAGG